CCGCGCGGCAAGGGGGGCGGTTCGTTAAGTTTCCATCTAAGCCAACCAGCCCCCTCGCCCCCTGGGGTGAAAACCGCGGGGTCCGGGCACCTGCCAGCGCCGCCTGCGCGTCTGCCGCGAAGGTCTCCAGGGACTTGGGCGCGCGCCGGCTGTGTCTGTCCGGGCGGCGAAACGGCTTTTTCCTGCCCATGGCTGGCGGGCGCCCGCACCTCGGCCGCCGCCTGACGTGACCGACCGCACCGGAAGGAGCTCTGCGCTGCGGCTCGCCGAGAGGCGCGTTTCCGCTTCCGGGAGCAATGGCGGCCTGGGCGCTGTTGCTCGCGCTGCTGAACGCGGGGCTCGGTGAGCGCCAAGGGGGTGGGATGGACCCCACGAACTGGGTTCTATGGAGTGGGAGCGGAACCGGGCCATAGGCGCCCCCTGCTTAACCACCGACCGCGCCCCCCCACTGCCGCCCTCCTCCCACGCCTGCCGCTGCCCGATCTCCCTCCTCCCCCGCGTGAACCCACGCGAGTCCCCTCTCCCCCACACCCACTCACTGACCATGCCCCTAGGGAAGCCCCCTCCCCCGCTGACTCCGCCACCGCAGTGAACTTCCTCTCCCACCCACTGACCAGGCCCTCTCCCCTCTTTCTTATAGGTCTCTTTACGTCAGCTGGTAAGATGAAAATCGTGGAGGAGCCGAACACCTTTGGGTGCGTGGCCCTGGTACTTCCCCATGCAGAATTTCTCTTGTTACTGACAGCAATTTGCTAGCCCTTTGTGGCCGCTGGGCACATTTACTTATATCATAGACATGCAGTTGGGCAGTGATAATCATCATCTTCCTGTCAACCTCCTTGGCCCGTGGTTTGCACCCTGAGCAAACTTGGCATTTGTCTTCACTGCAAAAAAAGAAGAAAAATGTGTTTTTACATCAAAAGAGCTCTTTCAGTGTAAAATCCTAGTGGAAATGAGGCAAAGGTAGTTTCTACTTTGATGTGGGAAGTTGAAATAACTGCTCTCTCATATGGGGTTTATCTTGACTAGCTACATCAAGGTTAAAACTACAGTGCCTTGCCTCCACAAGGATTTTACACTAAAGTAATTATCTTGATGTAAAATCACACTTTTTTGCTGTGAGGAACTAACCACCGCCTTGCTCTCTGTGATCAAGTGAGTGCCACACAAAGAGCTGCCTGCCTCCAGGTCACAAGTTCAGATCCCAGGGGTATTTCAGATGACACCTGTAGGTGATGCTGTTGCTCAGGCAGCTGGCTTTAAGAATTAAACCAAATCTAATCCGAACCAAATTTGAATCCAGAATGCTGAGCACTGGTTAGATTGGAAAGTAATTCATAGCGTTCTAGGAACGAGGATGGGGCTATTACCTGTGAGATGGACCCTGTGCCAATGGGTAATGAGACAAATTGAGTCCATTCCTTGAGATGTCTAAAGCTTTCCTGAAGGAGGGCAGGATGCAGTAGACCAGGTTCTCTCAAAGAAGTGGCTGTTTGGCCCTTAGGTAAGAAACCATGTTCTGACATTGCCAATGTATTGCCTTGTCTTCAACTTGCTGTGTTTAGGGAAAGGTGAAAAGGTCATGGTGAGGTAACTGGCATCATCTGGAGTCCCTAGATTTCTTTTATCTTTCAGTCTGTTTTCAGGTCTGTTGACACAGAAATGGCTCTGGTCCTTCTGCTTGGTGATTTGTCCCCGTGTGATTGGGTGTCCAGGTTGAAGATTTTTAGATGCAACCATGTATTCTGCTTAGGTGTGAGCATGTCTTGTGCTCATAGCCCCTTCCCTGGCTATCTGAGGCAGTACTGCCTTGACCCCCTTCAGTTTCTTCATACTGCCTGTGGCTGGAGTCAGACCTCTGTGTGGTTCCTAACCTCACAATCTCTATTTTGCAGTGACTTTTTAAATTGTATATAGTTAATTAGTATTCTTAGTATAGTGCTAGTTAGATTTAGTGTTAGTTAGCTTTAATTTAAGTATTTCTGTGGCGATGCTCTCACCAGGGATTAAACATTATCTGTTTTGAGGGGGAGCAATCCCAACAACAATCCCCACATGCATGCTCGCTATATTTAGGCAAAGTCCACTTCAAGGAAATTCAATTTCCAAATAGTTCACAAAATGCCACTCATGTGGTAAAGGATCTTCAGCTAAAGCAGCACCTGCTGGGGACAGGCTGGGTTGCTTTCACAAGGCTTGGGGCTCGATCACCACTGATAGCCTGATCTGACACTGCTTAGGATCCAGCTATGCCATCCATTCCTTTCCATCCCTTCCCCCCACCCTGCTTCCCTGTCCCCCTCTTCAGGAACCCCTTTCACAAGATACCGCTCCTCAAGCAGGTTCGCTCTCTACTGGCTTTGGGAGCAGTGGAGGCGGTTCTGATGGAACACCGGGGCCAGATACTTTTTGGTGCCCAAATCCAAGGTAGGGATAAGATCCATTCTCGACTTTTGCAGCCTCACCAAATGTATCAGATACACAGTGTTCTGAATGGTTACTATATTGACTATTCTCCCCACATTGTCTCAGAACAACTGGTTTGCTGCTCTGGACCTTCAGGACACATACCTTTAATTTTGCTGAGCCACAGAAAATTCCTTCGATTCATCATGGCGGAGTGCCATTTTCAGTACACTTCCTTTTGGCCTCTCTTCTGCCTCTCAGGTTTTTACCAATTGGATGGTCTTGGTCACATCTTCCTGTATTTGGATGACTGATTACTGAGAAGCAGGTCCAGAGAGGCGGTCCTTTCTCACATCAACACTATACTGCGCTTGCTCAACTGTTTGGATCTCATCCTAAGCACTAGGAAGTCAACTTTGGTTCCCCCTCATAAAATTGAGTTTATTGAAGCCCTAGCAGACTGTGAGTTTAAGAGCATCTCTGCTGACTGACCATTTTCAGGCAATTTGCTACCTTTGCCTCAGTCTGCAGTTGCAGCCTTCCATGACAGTTTGGATATGCCTGAGGCTCTTGGGCCACATGTCTGCTTGCATGCAGGTGGTATAGTTTGCAAGGCTGTGGCTTCACCCCCTTCAAATATGGCTCTGGACAGTTTACTGTCTGACTCTTCACCTCTTGAACAAATTGGTCCATCCCCCACCATTGGTCCTGGACTCCTTGCGATGGTGGATACTTCTGGAGAATGTTTGTCAGGGTGTTCCCTTTGTCTGGCCATAACCAACGAGTGCCTCCCTGATGGTCTGGGGAGCACATCTGGGGTCAGTGAAAGTTCAGGATGTGTGGTTGGAGCAGGGGCCTCATTGCATATCAATATGTTGGAGCTTTGGGCCATCTACAATGCATGTCATGCTTTTCTGGACTGTATTAGGCTCAGTGGTTCACATACTTACCAACAATACCACCATGTTGTATTCTGTGAACAGGCAAGGGGGAGCATGCTCCAGGATGCTCTGCCAAGAAGCAATCGGGTTGTGGTAATTCTGTGTCGAGGAGAGTATCACTCCCATAGCTGGTCACTTGCCCGGGGTCCAGAATCATCTTGCAAACCATCTCAGCAGGAATTTTTCCCATAGTCACCAGTGGTCCCTGAAGACAAAGGCCTCTGGGTCATCTTTGCAGCTTGGGCATTCTGATGATTGACCTGTTTGCTACAAGGGACGCAGAAAGTGTCGTCTATTCAGTTCTCAAGGGGGCCTCTGTCTGGGCTCCCAGTCCAATGCTTTTCATCTCAGCTGGCAGTTAGGTCTCCTGTACGCTTCCCCCCCCCCAATCCTGATTATCCCACAGGCATCCTCAAGCAAAAGGAGGATTGGGCCAAACTCATTCTCATTGCCCCGGTGTGACTGAGGCAGTGGTTGTTCTCTGACCTTCTTGCACTGTCAGTTCAGCCTCTTGTACCCCTTCATCTGTCCATCCTGACCTACTTACATGAGATTGCAGTAACACCCTACTTCCCGCTCTCACCTCCCTACATCTCACAGCGCAGCTGCTTCATAGATTCATAGATTCTAGGACTGGAAGGGACCTCGAGAGGTCATCGAGTCCAGTCCCCTGTCCTCATGGCAGGACCAAATACTGTCTAGACCATCCCTGATAGACGTTTATCTAACCTACTCTTAAATATCTCCAGAGATGGAGATTCCACAGCCTCCCTAGGCAGTTTATTCCAGTGTTTAACCACCCTGACAGTTAGGAACTTTTTCCTAATGTCCAACCTAAACCCCCCTTGCTGCAGTTTAAGCCCATTGCTTCTTGTTCTATCCTTAGAGGCTAAGGTGAACAAGTTTTCTCCCTAACTTGTTCATGGCTGAACGAGGAAGAGTGGTTTTTGGTGGCTGTTCAACAGGTCCTAGAATGGCATATTTGGCACACTGGAAGTGATTTTTAGTGCAGTCATTGGCCTGCAGACTTCAGCCGATGCTGGCTTCTATCCAGGAGAACTTGGAGTACTTCTGCACCTTCAGTTATCAGGCCTTGTGCTTAGCTCATTGAGAGTGAATCTGGTAGTGATGTCAGCATTTCATCCCCCCCATTCAGGGAAGATCAGTCTTCTCCAATGCCATGGTAGCAAGATTCTTAAAAAGGCTTCTTCATCTCCGTCATCTGGTCCGAGAGCCGGTTTCTCTGTGGGACCTTAACATGGTCCTAGTGACTTTGATGGGACCTCCATTTGAGCCCCTGGCATCTTGTCCATTTCCACTTTTGTGTCAGAAGACTGCAGTCCTGGTAGTGATAATCTACAAGGAGAGTCTGTGAGTTCCAGGCTCTGATGTCAGAGCCCCTTTATATACAGTTCTACAAGAAAAAATTGACTTTATGACCACACCCAAAATTTTTGTGTAAAGTTTCTCAGTTTAATTTGAACCAGGTAGTATAGTTACCGGTGTTATTTCCTAAGGCACATTAAACTCTGGAGAAGCAGCATCTCCATAGGTTAGATGTTAGATGATGTCTAGCCTTTTATTTGGACAGGATTAAACTGTCATGCTTGCCTCATCTGCTTGTGTCATATGCAGATCACATGAAGGGGCAACTGGTCTCTTCACAGATGGTCTCTAAATGGATAATAAGCTGTATCAAGACTGCATATGAAATAGCTTCGGCTACACCTCCTCAGTGAGTGCAAGTTCATTCTACGAGAGATCAAGCAATGTCAATAGCCTTCCTCAGTGACATCTCAATATTGGACATTTGCAGGGCTGCTATGTGGTTGTCAATCTATACATTTATGAACCATTATGCCATTACCTATCATCCAGAGTAGATGCAAGTTTTGATAGGGTGGTCCTGCAAACCTTGTTTAGGTAGACTCTGAGCCCCGCCTCCTGGGGTGCATATTGTTTGTGAGTCACCTAAGTGGAATGCATGGCTGCATCTACTCGAAGAAGAACCACAGTTACAGTAAGTAACCATGACCCTACCAGGGGTTCATGTGGCTCTCATTGAAGACAATGAAAACTGTAGGTCCTGAGGACCTTTGAAAATCAGACTACTATTATTCAGGTATATAAATATGGATTTAGGATCCAGGTTTGATGGTTTTGGCTGTTGTTTTCAATCTGACAGTCCTTTAGATGCTCAGATACTAGGGTGCTGGGGGACATATTAAATACCTAGATAAAAATATTCTAATTTAATCTCACTACAAATGGAAAACATCATTTTAAATTAGTCTAAATTATTTTAAATTAGTCTTTTTTTTCTTTTTTAAAAGATTGAACAACCCATTCCTACCTCAGACAAACAGGCTCCTTCCAAAGATGGCACCTTCCCCAACCTCAGGTGTGTGAAAATGTCTATTATATGTGACCATTTTTGTGACTATAATCTCTAAAAGAATCTGTGTGTGTGAGTGTGTAATTTTTGATTGCAGTTGTTTAATAGTAAGATAGACTTTGGTAGAAGCACTTGCCACAGTATAATATCTACATGATTAGTCTATGCTCTATGTTCTTTAATCCAATCATGAAAATGTTTCTTAGCCTTATGGAAGAATAATTTCTTCTCTGAATTTCACAGATAATTATTGGCATCTCAGATGCTACCAGTTAGTATTTATCACTTATATAGCACCTAACCTAGTCAAAATAATTTTCCTGTGTGAGTCTCTCTATGCCTCAATTCCCAGCCCCTAAAATGGGGATAACAGTGCTTCCCTACCTCCCTACCAGAATGTTTGAAGGATAAATACATTAAAGGTTGAGGCACAAAGATACTATGGTAATGAGGGCAAAATAAGTACCTTAGTTTAGGTTTCTTGGATGCTGATTGCCTTACACTCTGTGGAATGTTAAATCTGCAACATGTACACATACAATTCTATTATCATGATAACTCTGTTTAAATTTAACCAACCCATTATCCCTTTTGCAAGCCATTTCATTTTATTTTCAGGTCCTGCACATCTCTTCAGGCTTGCTGGCAAGTGTTTCAGTTTTGTGGAATCTACGTGAGTAACTGGTTTAGGTGCCTGACTGTATTTTTAGAATTGGCAATGATATAGGCCTTCATTTTATTTTTTAAAATCTGACATATTTTGTTTCTTTAGGTATAAATATGAGTTCTGTCCTTTCCATAATGTCACTCAGCATGAGCAGACCTTTCGGTGGAATGCCTACAGTGGGATTTTAGGGTGAGAAAATCCAGACTCTCTTCTTTTTATTTTAGTTTGTGAGTTGCGCTCTTTGTAGAGCTCTTGAAATCAGCACTTTTTAAATTAGCTATAGTTACGTTACCTTGAAAATGAACTAATCTTCGCATTAAATCCAAACACTGTTCTCTAAACTGTTTTCAGTTACACTAATGCCACTATCCTGTAGAAGCTAATGAGGTTGTAAGAGTGTAACTGAGGGCACAATTTGTGTGAAAGTGCTGCAAAATGTATCTTGTTAAACCTCTTCTAATAGCCAAATCATGGACTTTTAGTAAATCAGGCTCCTTGGCCATTTATTTTATTAATTAATAAATTCTTATTTGACTATAACATTTTATTCTTGAGACTTAATTTAAGAATACGTAAAATAGATCAATCTGGCAGCTTTCAACTGTAGGCGTCATCTAGTTCCTGCTGTTCTCATTACTTTATAGCTAATGTTGAAAATACAATGTTAGTGGCTATTGCTTTAAACTTAAAATTAGCTAAGCCATGAGGATCCAGAATTTGGAAATCCTAGTTGGTTTTAACATATGCCGAGAGTAAAATGTGAAAGAGGGCTCTAAAGGTAAGTATTCTTTCTAACAATCCTTTTCCCATTTGTGGATCACGTGTAGCATTACATCAACTGCTTGAGATTGCCCAAGAATGGGAATTATCCCATATATGGGATCATGTCTTTTAAAACACCAAATAAAAAGTCTTAAGGCAGAACTGACATAACTACAAAATGGAGACATTATAGTTGAGTATGAGATTTATTTATTGGACACTCTAAGAGCACAAAAATTAAGTGTATTCCATATCTTTATAAAGATTTTCCTTTCCACTAAAATAAAATGTTCCCCATCTCACAACCCCTGGAAAACCTGGGAAAGCTGATAGGACTTTTAATGTGTCCTAAAGGTCAACAAATTTGGGCTAAGTTGGACCAGTGGGGCAATAAATTCCAGTCTCTGAAGATGCCATATCTCCAGCTGTCTTCCATTTAAACCACCTATTCTGATGTTGAATGGCTTGGCTATTTATAGTTCCAGTGACATAACACAAAAAGACATGCAATTTGACCCCCAAAACAGACTGGAAGCCATTGTCAACTGCACATGACATGCATTTCCTGCAAGAAACACAAAATAAGTATACAGCCACAATTTACGTTAGCCAAGTTTTCATGGGCACTTTCTCCTTAAATCTCAGTTTTGAGTTGCATATAGCTCTCAAGTGTGATCTCTTGAAATGAAACTCCTTCTTGGTCTGGGCCTAGAAATAATTTTAAACATATTTAATAAAAGCCCATTCAGCCTGTCGAGTCAGTGCCTAGATCCAGGTAGAGGAGCTAGCATACATTTAATTTAAAAACAAAGACTGATTTAAAGGTGTCTGCCTCTATAAATATTTCCTATGTGCAGATGGGTAGAACGTGAGTGAAGAGCTGGTCTTCCCTGCAAGTAGGCTAGTCAGAAAGTCTGAGACGAGGAGATTACACCCAGAAATATAATGGGCCTTAGGACCAGACAGTGGCAGAGACTGGTTTGTAGTCACTCTTGTCAGCATCAGAGAGAATCCTACAAGCTAGCTGATCTGCAGTGGATTTCTAGACAGCAGTAGGGAGCCTGTGCCGGTGATAGGTCTTTAAGCTGTGAAGACCCAGAACCACTGAATTATTTGATTTGTCTGGAAACTGGGAGAGTAACAGAATTGTTGGAGAAAGGTCCTGACCTGAGAAAGTGTTCAGGATGCAGAGACACTGCACTGAACTACTGAACAAGGGTATTTATCCATTTCAGAAATATTTTTAAAGGACCATTTTAGTCCAGGATCAGATTCTTGGACTACAGGGGGGTTGGACTAGATGACCTCCTGAGGTCTCTGCCAACCCTAATCTTCTATGATTCAGGTCTACGTTCAAGACCTGTGTTTTCAAAAAGGCCTATGTTTCCCACACATCAGAAAGGAGCCTCTTTTTACGTATGCTGTAGTCAGTGCTATCTTTATTTGTTGTTTTATTGCTTAGATACTGTGGGGCTAGGTGCTTTAGAAATGTTTGAGATATTTTTTTTCAGGGGTTAGCAAAGCCTGGTTCTTTCCACAATCAAGGACTTTTGTTTCAGTTAAGCAAAAATGAAAACTGATGTCCCAAGAAGACAGATCTGGGCTTGTTTCAGTTTCACTTTAAAATGTTTATACATCATGAAAGATAATGGATGGACTAACTTGATGTTTTAAAGGATTTCTTGGACTGAGAAACAAAAGTGAGGATTTTACATATTTGACAATGAAAGCTACTGAGTATTTTTAAAGTGTGTGATTATTCTTGCTACTCAAATTAGATAATTCCAAAAATTTAGTATCTAAGTCCCTCTAGTTGTTCTGCTAAATGCCTTCAAACTCCAGGATACAGAAAATCTGTGTCTTGGAGATCGCAGTGCACCCTGAATGGGGTGCCACATCCTAAAAGGCAAGACCTTGCATTATCATGTAACACTAATATTTTATTTTTCTGCATTTGTGACCTCCAGTAGTTTGATAGGCGCCTTACAGATTGTATATGTTTTAAGATAAATATATCATATATGTTTGGTCCTGCTTTGAGCAGGGGGTTGGACTAGATGACCTCCTGAGGTCACTTCTAACCCTAATCTTCTATGATAAAGTTCCTGCCTCAGAGAGCTTAGTCTAAATAGACACCATACACATACAAACAAAAGGAAAGCTATGAAAAGCAAAGTGATTAAAAATTGAAGTAAAGTGTTGGTTTGTTAGCCCTACAACTTTTTTATGGTTCTATTTCCATGTCTTTTTCAGTAAACTAAGGGAAGGGAGTGAATGTGGCAGGCTGAGGTTTATGGGTTGCCCTCCTTTTACTATGTTTTTACATTTTCAAAGAGCTGTACAAATGTTATTTGTCAGGGCATGTCTGTGAAGCAGTAAGTATTATCCCCATTTTACAGGTGGGAAACAGAACAACAGAGGTGAAATGACTTTTCTGTTGACCTTACGGTCGCTGTTGTAAAGGCAGGCCTGCTCTTCTTCTCTCCCCAGATGATAAGGAAGTCCATGGTCTCTCCATGGTTTCATGCGGATCCACAAGGCATGGTTGCAATAATAACAGTGTTATAATACTGATGTATGGGCTCCAGGAGTTTGCAGTTGCAAAGGGGGTGATCCTGGCTATGCACCAGCATTTAAATGGGGAGGTCACCTCTATCTTAAATGACCTCCCAGAGTGGTAGAGTGAACATAGGTAAACAAACAGCTTGGTCCTGATATGGTGTGATGCAATGCAGTGTGGGAGAGCAACTGGAGGACTGCCAAGTCAGTGCGAAATACAGATGCATCCACAAAAACCTTTTTCTGCACTAATTCATTCTGAAATGAACTTTCAAAGTGGATTGTCTAATTTGCAATAATTGGCACTTCATTTGAAAGAAGAATTGTGTTGTATGGACCCAGGGCATTTTAATAAAAAAAAAAAAAAAAGAAGAAGTTAGTGTGAAAAAACCTTGGGTGGACAATCCCTAAGGCTATCCTCTGAGTCAGGATTCTATCCTGGCCCCCAACCTGGGTTGATTGTGAGACCACAGTTGTGACTATCATGAGTTTTATGGTCTAATAGGGAATATTTCATTTTAAATTAGAATAGGTCACTTTTCAGAAATATATTGTTAATAAATGCTTCTCTTCACTGACAAGTTTTGAAGAGTGAGCATGTTTTTGAGTTTGTATTCTTGTTTCACGCATCTGCTGACATACGTTGTTTGGGCTTACTCTGTATTCTGAGCAATTGAGAAGATTGGAGTTTGGTAATGCCTCTTTCAAACAAATTATTGATGACAAAATTAAAACCCTTTTTCAGTTTTATTTGGTTAAGAAAGTGTGGAAATGGTTTTGATACACGTCAGAATAACCGTAGTGCTCAGAAACTACTGTGATGGAGACTCTATAAGTAATTAAAGAACTCCACTGTGGTTATGAGATAATTGATCTGTGATGGGGCAGATCTGGGCAGTAAGAAAAGGAGATATTAAAGGACCTTCAAAAAATTGAAATTGATAAAGTGAATTTTAATACAGTGTTAGAGTATTTCTGTTTTTCTTACCAGGTTTTTAACTTTTCTCCCCAAAATTAAAAAACATGTCTTTTGAGCTGTTCTCTTTTTCCAGTATTTGGCATGAATGGGAAATTTACAACAACACATTTGTTGGCATGTGGATGAGAGAAGGGGATTCATGTGAAACCAAAAACAGAGAGACAAAGGTACAGTAATTAATCGTCCTGATGCCGTTAATACAGCTGGCATGTTTGTACCACTTTAAACTATTAAAGCCATTAATATACCATAGGACTTGAAAACTTAGATGGGGTTTTACAAATTGAGATCTCTTCCTGCCCAAAGAGTTCATGGTTTAGGACATGAAGTAGAAAAATGCAAGATGAGATATGGGACAACAGTTAGGAATGGAGGGTAAAACCAGGATAAAAGGCTGATGATGATGTTTTCACTCACACCAGTCTGGAGACTTTAACTCTTTCTTTTTGTTCATGCAAAATAGGATGTTCTGGTATTACCATTACCACTAGGGACAAATGCTCTGTAAGTTCCGCTATGGGCCACTGCTACATAAGAGGAGAGAAATAGAAGTTACTTGTGGGACTGGAGTTGCCAGCCACTACTGGATGACACATGTCAAGGGAGAGTGAACTAGGTAGTTAAACAGTACTTTGAGACCAAGTGGCAGAGAGACTTGTATGGGAAAAGTAGAGGGCCAGGTCACAAGAAGCATGTGCAGGTGAGAGAGGAGCAGAACAGATGTGGGCAGAAGGGGTGGAAGGTAAAATGAAGAGCAAATAAAGACAGTATAATTAGCTTTTGTCAAAAAGACAAAACTATTAAAAACACTTAAAATACATGACAGTTACATGTGAGCAGTTGCTTTTGCTGAAAAGGGATGTTACATGATTGTGAATGGAAAGGAGATGTCCAAAAGACTCTGAAAAGATGAGGTCCATACTATGTAAAAATCTGGGAACTCCTGCCTGAGACCTCTCTTCTCCCCTTGTTAAAATAATGTTTGCACTTCTCTAGGTCCTTTCCAGAGGTTAAGGAGCTTTACAAAATTAAGTCTCACATTCCTCTGTGACACAAGACAATAGCTCAAGTATCAGAGGGGTAGCCGTGTTAGTCTGAATCTGTAAAAAGCAACAGAGGGTCCTGTGGCACCTTTAAGACTAACAGAAGTATTGGGAGCATAAGCTTTCGTAGGTAAGAACCTCACTTCTTCAGATGCAAGTCTGAACCAAGGTTTCTGACTTCCAGTGCACTGTCTTACTGTGACAGAGTGCTGGGAGCCTAGAACTGACCAAGTACTCTGTCACTAAGGTACTACCTATTCCCCCCTGGAGTGGATTTAATTGGAGGGAGGGTGCTCAGTGGTTTAATTAGGCAAGAGGCTGACAAGCTAGTGAGAGCAACCAACCTGTCAGCTGGGAAGTTAGAGGACAAGAAGGAAGTGCAAGGGGAGTGGTTGGTAGGGGCTAAGGGAGGCAGGATCTCAGGATGAGGAGATCTGTCCCTGTCCTTCCCTGGATAGTGGGCTAAGGGGAAAGTTTCAGCTTTATATTGCTTCATGAGGCTGTACTGGTGAAGGGGAATAAAAAAATGGTGCTTATAAACTGGGAAGCATCCAGCCTGTTTGTGTTGATCCAAGGGGTGGAGAAGGGAGCCTATTATGCATGCCATAAGAGCATCCTTTCTTCCTGTAGCCACATTGAAGATATATTTGGCCTTCTAGTATTGCATGATTTCTAATATTAAGAATTTGAATCCTCCTTGGGATTTTGCTTGTAAAAGGTCATGAAACATTAAAGCTGAAAATGTAAAGATCATAATGAGCATCTACAATGCAGGGTAAATCAATATTCTCTGGAAAAATTAAAGGACATAAGAGCCTGGTGTTTAGTGCTTTTTACATTGTACTGCTATTGAGGAGACCTGGATGCAATTTTTCACTGTTCATAGGCTGGTAGTCCTTCAGAGGTGGGAGCATGCATCACTCAGTAGCAAATGCACCAAAGGGCATCTAATTTAGTGTGTGTCTGTTGGAAGTTGTGGTGACTTAGGTGGAGGAATCACTTCCCATTGGGAAAGGAACAAGTTTATTCCATGCTTTAAAATACCGTATATACTCGTTCATTAGCCCGTTCGTTTATAGGCCGACCCCCCAAGATGGTTCGGTAAAAATAGCAAAAACGGTATGACCCTTTCATAAGCCGACCCTATATTTCAGGGTTTGGCAAACTTTGGCTCCTGGCTCATTAGGGTAAGCCGCTAGCGGGCCTGGACGTTTTGTTTACCTGGAGCGTTCACAGGCATGGAGCCCCTCAGCTCCCAGTGTCAGCAGTTCCGTTCCCAGCCAATGGGAACGGTGAACCACAGCCACAGGGAGCCTAAGGGCTCCATCCCTGCAGACGCTCCAGTTAAACAAATCGACAATGTGTTAGATTTTCAATTCAATGATTCCATAGAGTTTAAAATCATCAAATTTTGGTGTAGACCTGTTTATAAGCCGACCCCCGCTCTTTGATGCATCACTTTTTTACCAAAAATATTCGACTTATGAACGAGTATATATGGGTAACTTAATCTGAAAAAGACTTCTTTCTTCTGCACTGGGTAAAATGATGGCAGCACTGAGAGCTGATTACAGTACTTGCTGGAATGCATCTATGCTCATGGTAAAATGGGAAGTTAGTGGTGTATGTTGGTTCTGTTCAACATGAAACTAGTGACTGTATTGTGTGTTTAACCTATTTCCTCTCATCCTTCTTTTTCTGCTCTTCAGGTTCTTCTTATTTGTGGAAAAAACAATAAGTTGGCTCATGTGTCTGAGCCGAGTACTTGTGTTTACTCTCTAACATTTGAGACTCCTCTTGCTTGCCATCCTCATTCTCTTTTAGGTAGGTAGGATAAAAAGGTCTGTGCATGTGTGAGAGGCAGGTGGCATTTTACCCAAGCCTTTAAGTTTAGATTTCTGGTTTGTTAGTTTGTATCATTACATCAATAAGAAGTAAATGTAACATTGTTTATTACAAGCATTTCTAAAGTACCATCACTATAATAATTGGGCACTCTTATCTGAGCTTGCAAAGTCCCTACGATCAACTCAATAGCATTTCTCTGTATGTAATGGGATAACTTTTGAAAACTCCTTCCAGTTAATTTCAGAATTTCAGGGAATGTTCAAGGCATCAATTGTCAGAACCCTATTTGATCTCGGGGAAGAGCAGAAAACCAAAAGGGGGAGATTGGGGAACAAAAGAGCCCCTGACAGCTTTTTAGCCACAGCCTCTAGCACCTCTACAATTATCTGTAGATCACAGAGCTAGTTCATGATTTCCATGAACACATTCCAGCACAACAATACCCATGCTCATGTCAGCTTATCCTCCCAATAGTGTAACACCTTGACATGCTGAATGACTTCTCTTCTGGGCAGAAAGTAATGGTGGTGGGGGAAAGGGAAATGGAGGGGCCTGGGGGGAGCAGAGAGAAGTGCACACAGCTGCTGGAATGTTAGGGGAAAACGGGGGACCCTCATATGGAGGGAGGGACGAAAGGAGCACACCATCTCTAGTGGGGAGATGGAGATTGGGGGATCTGATATGGGGGAGAGAGGATTGGGGGGCACAGAACCCATGCTGGGGGAAGGACCCAGGGAAGGTGGGGAATAAGTGTGCACACAGCCCCTGGCTTGGGGGCCAGAATGAAGGACTCCCTGAGAATTGGAGAATCAGACACCGCCCCTAGCATGGGGGATTTGGAATGGGGAGCACACAGAACTCCTGGTGTGGCGGGGGGGAGTTGATTGGAGGACCCTGGTATGAGGAATAGAGTTTGGGGGAAAGAGGATAATAGGATGCATGCTGAGCTGCTGGTATGGGGAGAGAATGAGGGACCTGGTATGGGAGGAGAGGGGGGTGGGGGACACACAGACCCTTGCAGGGAAGAGATTCGGGTGAATTACAAGGAATCCCTGGAAAAAGAAGGGGATGGGATGGTGGGCATACAGAGAGCTTGTGGGAGAGGGAATGGAGGAATACAAAGAGCATTGCGATAAATTCAGCCTACATAATCTACAAACAACACCTTGGTAAATTTATTTGTGTACAATAGCGTAGTTCTCTCATTCTCACCACTTCCATCCCAGTCTCCAGTTAGATAAGTCAGTGGATGCATTCATCAGTTTGGAAAAATGTCTGCATGAAGAGATATTTAATGAAATATTCCCTGAAGATAGTAAGAGTGAGGCTCAGCCCTAAGAGGGGATTACAGAGATAGTCAGGCCCCAGCCCTTTTGGGGTTTTGTAATTGAAGTCCAGCACCTTGAATTGGATTCATACTGCCACAGTATGCTGTGCACTCCAGCTAGCCCTTGGAATATGCCTCCATTTGGCCTTAATGGTCATTCTTAGATAGGATGTGTTTCAATAGTCTATAAGTGAGGAGGGTGCAATCAGGATCTCATCCAGCAGTGATGGGTGAAGCCTTCTGGACAGCTGGAGCTGGAAGAAGAGACCTTTGGTCACTGCTGCTGTCTGGGAGCATTAGACCTCTAGGGCCTGCTCCTGTTCCCATTTGAAGTGATTGAGAAAATTCCTATTGATTTAAATAGGATTGAGGAACAGGTCCCAGCAAGTGAATGTAGCAGTTTGTGGTCCCAGTGATGCATGTTGAATTGAAGCATTAAGCTGTTAAAACACACGCATAGCAGCATTAGGGTTACATTCAAATAGTTAATTAAGGAAAATGTAGCTGTTAGTATTTATGACAGCATTACTTTCCTTTTTTCAGTTTATCCAACGCTGACTGAAGTCCTACGAAGGAAGTGGGATGAAGCAGAGCAGTCTCTTTATGATGAGCTAATAACTGAACAGGTTTGCTGATCCATTCTGAGTTCTTGTTAAAGGACTGTCACTTTCAAATTACTGTAGTACTGGTCTGTTTTCTGCAGTTCCAGCTCTTTTTAGGATAGATGCTTTTATCCTACTATTGGCAAAAACTGTTAGTGCACTGCATCTAGCTACAGTTTACTGGTAATCACAAAACCTTGTAAAATAGCCAATGTAAATTACAAACAGAAATAGAATGGCTTTATGTAATGTCTTTGTTTTTCCAGGGATACAAAAAATTGTTGAAGGAGATTTTTGAGGAAGCAGGACTTTTAAGAGCAACAGAAGAAAAGGAGATTGAGAAAAAAAATAAAAAGTTAAAAAGTCTGGAATTTGAAACAGTGGAGAAATGCAATAAGGTATAGAAAGTAATTCTCAATGCTTGTCTAAGAAATTTTACCAACATGGAGTTAATCACCATCCTTCTTCTGTGTGATTGAACTACTGGGTTCTCAGCCAAGCTGCCTATCTGTTGTTAGGATTCAGATAAAATCTACTCCCTTGGTTATCTTCTGTTGCCTAAATAACAGTATATTTAAAAATAAATAGAAATGGCAAAACTTATTTTAATACTGAAAATTGGAAACAAACTGGCATTACTGAATGCCTTTCAAGGAGATATTAGGGGGTGGTATATGGGAAGTAGTTTGGATACCTAGGTGATGTGCATTTTAGACATACTTTCATAAACTGGGGTTAGAATGGGATTAAGAAGCAGAAGGGAGTTAGTGCAAGTGGAAGGTGGACCAGAGCCTTGTGGCGGATAGGTACTTGGTAATCATATAATATACACAGGTTTCAGAGTAGCAGCCGTGTTAGTCTGTATCCGCAAGAAGAACAGGAGTACTTGTGGCACCTTAGAGACTAACAAATTTATTAGAGCATAAGCTTTCGTGGGCTACAACCCACTTCTTCGGATGCATATACACACTAAGTCTTATTATGCTGAAACATTCAGGCCATTTTACAAACAAAAGGCCCAGTGGTTCATATCATGTATCCTTTAAATTCTCTGTATGTGTGCCTGTATCTACAACTATATATGTATATACGCATATGCGCTGCAGCAGAATTTACAGGGCATGTTAGTATGAATTAAAGGCAAGCACTGAGCACTAAAATTGAAGTGCATAATATGTCTGGAGAGAATACATTCAGCCTAAAAGTTCATGTGCTATGGTTGTACCCTCTCATTGATGTGCTGAGATTCATTGACTGGGCTGGAAGGGTAGTCATAGATTGCAAAGCAAGAAGGAGACCACTGTGGTTATCTAGTCTGACCTCGTGCATAGCAAAGGCTATAGAATTTCACCCATTAATTCCTGCATCAGGCCTAATAACTTGTGGTTTAATTAAATCATCTGTCTTAGAAAGATATATGTGGTCATTTAAAGGAATGGAGAATCCACCACCTATCTTCTTGGTTTGGTCCAGTTTCATGGACGGTGGGTATAATAGGCCAGGGGAGGCTCTGCCTCCCCCGGCGCTGCCGTGGCAGCCAGACACCCCCTCCCACCTCCTGTTGTAGGGTTTGGCGGTGAAGGGTTTTGTTTTATTATGCCCCATGCAGGTTCCGGAACGGCTGAGGAGGCACATACCGCCTCCTCTGCCACCCTGGAATTTGCATGAGGCATACCAAAAGCATCTTAACAGACGCTTTTCCTCTGTGTGGGTTGGGTCTGGGGAGGGGAGGTACAGCGTGGCTTTAGCCAGCCTGGGGCTCCTCAAGGCTTCTCCAGGCTGGGGGGGAGCGCTCTGGGCTGCGGCCAACCCGGAGCACCTCTAGCCGAGGCAGGGAGCACTCAGGGCTTTGACCAGCCCAGGTATCCCATGGTGGGGACGCTCGGGGGGGGGGGGGCGGGGCGTCTGGGGGCTCTGGCTGTGGGGAGGGCGTGGGCGGAAGGGGTGGAGCCAGGGGCTAGCTTCCCCAAAGGGGGGCTCCACCCACTGTCCATGTCCAGTTCTATTAAAAATTTGAACCTTATTTTCAATTTTAATTTATCTAGCTGGTGATGAATATTATGGGATTCCAGCCTTTCCTTATAGCAGTGGTCTCCAACCTTTTTATGCCCAAGATCACTTTTTGAATCTAAGGGCAACTCAGGATCTACCCTGCCCCTTCCCTGAGGCCCTGCCCCGCTCACTCAATCCCCCTCTCTCCATTGCTCGCTTTCCCCCACCTTCACTCACTTTCACCAGGCTGGGGCAGGGGGTTGGGGTTCGGGAGGGGGTGCGGGCTCTGGGCTGGAGCCGAGGGGTTCGCAGTGTGAGAGGGGGCTCTGGGATGAGCCTGGGGCAGGGGGTTGGGGTGCTGGCTCTGGGAGGGGGCTCAGGGTGGGGCTTGGGGTGCAGAAGGGGTTATGGCGTGCTGGCTCCAGGAGGGGGCTCAGGGATGGGGGTTTGGTTGCGGCCTCCAGCTGGGCAGCACTTACCTTCGGTGGCTTGACGGTGGGCGCAGCGAGGCTAAGGCAGGCTCCCTGCTTACCCTGCCCCCACACCGCTCCTGGAAGGGGCCAATGCGACCCTGCAGCCCCTGGGGTGGTGAGGGCAGGAAGCATGTGGCTCCGCACACTGCCCCTCTCTGCAAGCACCGCCCCTGCAGCTCTCCTGGCCAATGGGAGCTGTGGGGGCGGTGCTTGCAGGCAGGAGCAGCGCACATAGAGGGAGACCCCTGCCTCCCCGGCTGCGGGGCTGCAGTGGCCACTTCCAGGAGCGGTGTGGGGGTGGGGTAGCCTTAGGCAGCCACACTGCGCTGCCGCCGGAGATCGCGATCGACTGGGAGATCCTCTAGGATCGAACAGTTGATCGCGATCGACCAGTTGGTGACCACTGCCTTATAGTTTAATTAGCTGTTCATTAAAGCTTCTGTAGTTATGGAGTAGCCACAGGTCTTCAGAGGTAAAACATTTGCTGCCGGGTTGTCAGGCAGCAACTTTGAGACAGAGACTAACCCTGGAACAGTGTTTGGGAGAGAGTTAACAGTTGTAGTGCTATAAAAATCTAGTCAGAGGGCAGACCTGAGGTGTTTATAGGGAAGGAGTTCCTGGGCTAAGTGCCTGATTCATAGTCCCAGACTTCAGTAGAGGAACAGTTGGAACCAGATGCTATGGGTAATATCTATCAGAAACACAGGCTGTCTTTTTGTATTGCTGATACTTTGTCCATAAGAACTGCCCAAAGGTCCATCTAGACCAGTATCCTGTCTTACGACAGTGGCCAATGCCAGGTGCCCCAGAGGGAATGAACAGAACTGGTAGTCACCAAGTGATCCATCCCCTCTTGCCCATTCCCAGCTTCTGGCAAACAGGCTAAGGACACCATCCCTGCCTATCCTGGCTAATAGCCATTGATGGACCTATCCTCCATGAATTTATCTAGTTCTTTTTTTAATCCTGTTATAGTCTTGGCCTTCACAACATCCTCTGGCAAAGAGTTTCACAGACTGCGTTGTGTGAAGAAATATTTCCTTTTGTTTGTCCATCTCTTTGATGAACCTTGTGCACAAGTTAAACAGCCTGTCTTTGGAACTCTTACACCATAAGAATGGTCTGACTCAGTGCAGCCAATGGTCCATCTAACCTAGTATCCTGTCTTCAACCAATGTCCAATGCCAGATGCTTCAGAGAGAATGAACAGAGCAGGGCAATTATCAAGTGATCTATCCCCTGCCGTCCAGTCCAACATCCAGTAGTCCAAGGCTTAGGGACAACCCAGAGCATGAGGTTGCATTCCTGACCATCTTGACTAATAGCTGTTAATGGACCTATCCTTCAGGAACTTGTCTAATTTTTTTTTAATCCAGTTATACTTTTGGTCTTCACAACCTCCCCTGGCAACAAGTTCCACAGGGTGACTGTGCGTTGTGTGTAGTAGTACTTCCTTTTGTGTGTTTTAAACCCGCTGCCTATGAATTTCATTGGGTGACCCCTGATTCTTGTGTTCTGTGAACGGGTAAATAATACAATCTGTATTCACTTTCTTCACGCCATTCATGGTTTTATAGACCTATATCATATCTTCCCTTCATCATCTCTTTTCTAAGCTGCGTAGTCCCAGTCTTTTTAATCTCTCCCCATATGAAAGCTATTCCATACCCCCCTAATATTTTTTGTTGCCCTTCTTTGTTGTACCTTTTCCAATTTTAATATATCTTTTTTTGAAATGGGGGAACCAAAACTGCATGCAGTATTCAGGTTGTGGGCATACTATGGATTTATATAGTGACATTGTGATATTTTCTGTCCTCTTACCCATCCTTTTCCCAATGGTTCCTAACAGTCTGTAAGCTTTTTTGAATGCCTCTGCACATTGAGCAAATATTTTCAGAGAACTATCTACAATGACTCCAATATCTCTTTCTTGAGTGGTAACAGCTAATTTAGACACCATCATTTTATTTGTATAGTTGATATTATGTTTTCCAATGTACATTACTTTGCATGTATCAACATGGAATTTCATTTGCCCTTTTGTTGCTCAGTTACCCAGTTTTGTGATATCCCTTTGTAACTCTTTCTGTCAGTTTTGGACTTAACTATCTTGAGTAATTTTGTATTGTCTGCAAATTTTGCCACCTAACTGTTTTACCTTGTTGTCCAAATCATTTATGAATATGTTGTACTGGGACCAGTGCTGTTCAGATCCCTGGGGGACACCATTATTTACCTCTCTCTTTTCTGAAAACAACATTTATTCCTACCCTTTGTTTCCTGTCTTTTAAGCAATTACTGATCAATGAGAGGACCTTTCTTCTTATCCTGTGACTGCTTATTTTGCTTAAGAGCCTTTGGTGAGGGACCTTGTCAAGTCTTTCTGAAAGTGAAAGTACACTATATCCATTGAATCACCCTTGTCCACATGTTTGTTGACCCCATCAAAAAATTCTCATAGATTGGTGAGGAATGATTTCGCATTACAAAAGCCATGTTGACTCTTCCCCAACAAATCGTGTTCATCTATGTGTGTGATAATTCTGTTCTAAACTATGGTTTCAACCAGTTTGCATGGTACTGAAATTAGGCTTACTGCCCTGTAGTTGCCAGGATTGCTTCTGGAAATTTTTTTTAAAATTAGTGTCATATCCTCCAGTCATCTGGTAAACAACATTCCAAACATGTTTTTTTTTTCCAGTGGCTTCCCTTATAACTATGTTTGGACATTTTATACTTGATGCAAACTGAATTTTTCAGTAGACATATGTATTTGGGCAAAACATATTGTCCATTTTATAAATATTTTTTATTCTAGGAGTACAAGAAACTTTCTAAAGAAATAAAAAGGCTTCAAGATTTATTAACTCAACATGGTATTGTGTATGAAAGAAACTCAGGTAAGTTCTTTGTGTAGTTCTACTTTCTCATTCTTATCTATTTAGAATGTGAATACTCAGCTTTCTCTTTTTAAATTAAAAATATTGTTAAGATCAGGATAAACAAATAATCTTCTATCGGAGGGGGTCAAGCACTACCGTAAAGCATACTGCATGTGATTTTGACTGAACAGACCCTTGACTGTGAGACCTTGTTTAAAAATATATGTAGGTTTTTATTGGTGTCAGCCTTTACAATGGGACTGTGGCTGCTTCCACTTCTATTTTGGTATACTTTGAGCTTCATTCTCTGATTCTTCCTCCCCATGCTAAGTGTTAATGTCCACAGCATTCGAGACTAATATTTTCATCTCATTTCTCCCAACTGCACACCAACGATAAAATCTGCTCCCATGAGTATGTGAACTGTTCTCCTTTGGTGTGTGTAAAGTCTCCTGCTTCATACCTCATTCCACTTTTTGCTGGTCAGTTTCTCCCCTTCACTGGCCTCCACTGCAGATATGCACCACTTGTCCCATGCTACTTCCTGGTGTGAAGAAGAGAGCAATAGCAGGGGGGTGGGTCCTGTCTGTGAAGAAGCAGTCTGGATTTATTCCAGGCAAGTTCCAGTCTCACCCTGCCTCCCAGCAACCAAGATGCCTCATTCTTCTCAGTGCTTGTTCCCCTCTTATCATGTCAAATTCCAGTCCTTTAGTTAATTCCCTAAGTCCCTCATGATGCCCCTTGGGTATTTAGCTTCCTAAGGTGCACCTCTTTGTAGCCTGTGTGTTCAGAGATTGGCATCTCAGTGAATTATTAGGCTGTAACCTAATAACTAGAACTGAGCAAGTGATATATTTGCATTTTTTAGTTCTTTTCTGTATGAGAAACTTTCATTTTCATTATGTGAAATGAGTAACTTTTTTCAGGGGGAAAAATTTTTGTGTTGGAATGTATGCAGATTATAGATTTTGCTAATTAATATCCAGTTTAAACTATTAGTTACATAAATTACACAGGATTTCTGTTCACTGACTGGATAACTTGTGTAGCCATATAGAGGAGAATTTGAATTGTATATTAAAGAGCAAAAATCACAGTTTGCATTGGATGACTTATTGTAACTTAACATCAGAGGGGTAGCTGTGTTCGTCTGTATCCACAAAAACACAAGGAGTCCGATGGCACCTTGAAGACTAACAGATTTATTTGGGCATAAGCTTTCGTGGTTAAAAAATTCACTTCTTCAGATGCATGGAGTGAAAATTACAGATACAGGCATAAATGTATATTGGCACATGAAGAAAAGGGACTTACCTTACAAATGGAGAACCAATATTGAAGGCCAATTCAGTCAGGGTGGATGTGGTCCACTCCCAATTGATGACGAGGTGTCAATACCAAGAGAGGGAAAATTGCTTTTGTAGTGAGCCAGCCACTCCCAGTCCCTATTCAAGCCCAAATTGATGGTGTTAAGGGAGGGGTTGGCTCACTACAAAAGCAATTTTCCCTTTCTTGGTATTGACACCTCCTCATCAATTATTGGGAGTGGACCACATCCACTCTGACTGAATTGGCCTTCAACATTGGTTCCCCACTTGTAAGGTAACTCCCTTCTCTTCATGTGCCAATATATATTTATGCCTGTATCTGTAATTTTCACTCCATGCATCTGAAGAAGTGGGTTTTTAACCATGAAAGCTTATGACCAAATAAATCTGTTAGTCTTTAAGGTGCCACCGGACTCCTCATTGTTTTTGTAACTCAACAGTATCCTATGACTTATTGTGACTAAGTAAAATCATGTGAATTGCAGCTTTTATTAAGAAAAGTTAAGAAATAACTGATATTTTACAATTAAATATTTCAGCTGAAAATACAAGTGCTGAACACATCATTCATAACGTGGTGACTGCAAAGCCAAGTGTTCTGAATGGCTCAAAGGCTCATGAACACCTACGGGGAGACACAGGCATTTGGAATGACACCTTTTAAAGAAATTTGTCTATATGAACTTGATATTTATCATCCAGACTAAAATATTGAGCAAATTGGATGTATATCATACTACTAAGACAATTTAACAACCCTTTGTGAATATTTCTAATGCTCTATATTCTTGCCCTAGGGCAATGAGAAGAGAATGTTTGAGTTAAATTCTGGTACTGCCATTGCAGACAGCTGTTGAAGTTCAGTTTACAAGGTTGTTTAAGTTGTAAAAATTCTCTTTGTTGAAACTGTTACCAACCATTGGTCTGCAGACTCTACTTCTCCAATCTCAGTTCTGTGCTGTTTGCTTTGATCAACTATTGCACTAATTAGAGTGAAAGGTAATTGGTTGTATACCCAGCATCTGTATTTCTGCCTGATGTGGGGGGAATAGTTTTGTCCTCAAGTTTGGACGGATTAGTAAACTTCTTAACCGCTGATAGCAGGGGCAGCTTATTTGCCTTTGTGGGAAGGAGTAGTTCACACTGTACTTCCTAATCCTGTAGGAGCACTGATGAGGCTAGAAGGATGGAGTGATGTGGAACCTTTAGCCAGAGATGAGCATGTGAGCAAAAAGCAAAATCAACCTTCTAGTCTTTCAGGTAGATTATATACAGTATACTCCTATTTATCCAAAATCCGATTATCCAAACCTCTGCATTATCCAAATCCCTTCCTTGTCCCCCAGCATGAGATATATGCCCTCTGCAGCATGTATTTTATGCTGGAGGATAAGGAAGGGATTCAGATAATGTGGAGGTTTGGGTAATAGAGCAGACACTACTAGCCAGGACTGCAAGAACGATGAGCCCCCGGCTGCAGAGAAGACCATCCTGCTGCTGAATGGGCCCTCTGCAGCACCGCTGTCATGGGAGTGAATGGGGCTAAGACAGCAGAGATGCAGAAGGCTCCCTGTGCTGCCGCAGTGCTGGTGACACGCCATCCCTGCAGGCACAAGGTGCAGTGGGAAGGCTGTGGTCCTGGTAGGGCAGAGCAGAGACCCCGGCAAGGACTCTGCCCTGCTAGGACCACAGCCTTCCTTGCGCCTGCAGGGAATTGGGTGTCACTTGTCCTGTGGCTGCACAGGGAGCCCTCTGCAACCTTGCTGTCACAGCAGCGAGTGAGTGGGGCAGAGCAGAGACCCCTGGCCAGGACTGTGAAGAGGATGACAAGCCCCTGGCTGTGGAGGAGGCCACCCTGCTGCTGAATGGCCTCCTGATTATCTGAACCAAATCTGCAAAAAGAACAGGAGTACTTGTGGCACCTTAGAGAGTAACAAATTTATTAGAGCATAAGCTTTCGTGGGCTACAACCCACTTCTTCGGATGCATATATGATGATGTCTATCTGTATCTGTACGAGTTTTTTCATGAAGTTGATGGATTTCCACTCCATACGGCGAAATGCAGTGCCTTGCATAATGACAGGTTTCAGAGTAGCAGCCGTGTTAGTCTGTATCCGCAAAAAGAACAGGAGTACTTGTGGCACCTTAGAGATATGCATCCGAAGAAGTGGGTTGTAGCCCTCGAAAGCTTATGCTCTAATAAATTTGTTAGTCTCTAAGGTGCCACAAGTACTCCTGTTCTTTTTGCGGATACAGACTAACACGGCTGCTACTCTGAACCAAATCTGTGTCCCTCATGCTATTCAGATAATTGGAAGTACACTGTATTGAAAAAGATAGAAGGAAATGACTGCATAAAGACTAGAGAAATTACTCCACTTTAAAGCTGTAAGGTGTAAATAGTTATTCCTTTAACACCTATTTCCACACTAGCAGCTAATATTCACCTCTTACCCGTCTCTGCTAACAATAACAAATTCTTGTCTAAGACAACCATCACACGGTTTACTAAAAGTTGAGACTAACAGAACGACCATGCGTAAGTAGGATACTCTCCTCCTAACCTTCTGGTTTGTCTCAGGTGGCCATGGTGCTCTCTCACAAGTTCTTTCCTACCTCAGCTTTGGTGTTGGCTCAGGACTTCTTTAGCCCTGAGTGCTGCCCCCCCTTCCCCTGACTTTTCTCTCCAACCATCCACAGCTTGTTCCTGATCCTTCTAGTCACATATTGGGGTACTGTCACAAACACTATAATTTTTGTGTGCATTTTGCATTTACTACTCCAAACTTACATTGTAATAGATTTCAAATCAAGGAAATCTTAGTGATCCAGTCAGCATACCCTGTGCATAATGATGTCAGATGTGAATGCAAAATAATTACACTACTTTGCAGACAAGATCTTGCAAACTGAGGTAGAGTCTGCACTATATGAACATTAAAATCCCCTTGCCAGTTTAAAGAGTAAGCCTTTTCTCTTTTGGCTTAGGCAAAAATGTTTCTTCCCTCTTTGGTGTGTATCATCTGCAACTGCAGTTCTCCCGCACTAGGATTGTTTGCATTTGAGAGGTGCTTACACCTTGGGATTGTTATGGATGAAAAGTGAAAATTTAATTTTTTTTACAGAAGACCAATAATGTTTGAGTGTAGCTCTATTCTGTATATTATTATAAAGAATAAATGTATGGACTCTTCTAACAAAGTTGTGGAACGTTATAACAAAGCAAGTTGTCCAGCAGCAAGGACATCATTTGTACTTAAATAATTATTACAGTTCCTTCCCTTGCTGTGTTTAGCTAACCCTGACCACCTGCTAATTCAGGGGTTCTCAAACGGGGGGTCATGACCCCTAAGGGAGTCACAAGGTTATTACATGGGGAGTCACGAGTTGTCAGCCTCCATTCCAAACCCCACTTCACCTCCAGCATTTATAATAGTGTTTATTTTTAATTTATGTGGGGGGGGCGTTCGCACTCAGAGGCTTCCTGTGTGAAAGGGGGTCACTAGTACAAAAGTTTGAGAACCACTGTGCTAATCTACAGTAAATTGTACTGAGCCTCAAATCTTCATTTTAGCACCGACCATTTTCCTCAACTGATATAGATTGTACTGGTGACTCTACCATAACTATTACCACGGTGTGAAGTTTTCTCCCCTCCCTTGGAAGCTAAATTTAACAAAATTCAGCTGATCTATGCAGCAGGTGGGTGGTAGTAAAGGCAAGTTGCCCTTCTGAAGACCAGTAATTCTATCAAGACATCCAAGTGTAGGATGAAGACTATCATAAATCTTAGCTACACTGTCCCTAGGAATCTTTCTGGTGTCAGTTAGGAAGAAACTTACCTGTACATCCCGATCAGTGATCCCTTAGAGCTGAACAAAGGACCTGCACTTCTAATACAGAACTTTACCTTTTTAGAACATAACAGCAGACCAACTGGGTCAGACCAACGGTCCATCTAGTCCAGTATCCTGTCTTTTGACAGTGGCCAATGCCAGGTGCTTCAGAAGTAATGAACAGAATAGGCAATCATTGAGTGATCTATCTCATCGTTCACTCCCAGCTTCTGGCAGTCAGAGGCTAGGGACACCCGGAGCATGGGGTTGCATCCCTGACCATCTTGGTTAATAGCCATTGATGGACCTATCCTCCATGAACTTACTTTTTTTAACCCCATTCTAATTTTGGCCTTCACAACATCCCCGGCAACGAGTTCCACAGGTTGTCTGTTGTGTGAAGAAGTACTTCCTTTTGTTTGTTTTAAACATGCTGCCTATTAATTTAATTAGGTGACCCCTGGTTTTGGTGTTATGTGAAGGAGTAAATAATACTTCCTTATTTACTTCTTCTACAGCAGTCATGATTTTAGAGACCTCTATCATATCCTTCCTTAGTCATCTCTTTTCCAAGCTGAAAAGTAAGTCTTTTTAATCTCTCATCATAGCTGCAGGTGCTTTGGAGGATAGGATTAAAATTCAAAATGGACAAACTGGAAAAATGGTCTGCAGTAAACAGGATGAAATTCAATAAGGACCAATGCAAAGTACTTCACTTAGGAAGGAACAATCAGTTGCACATGTACAAAATGGGAAATGAGTGCCTAGGAAGGAGTACTGCAGAAAGGAATCTGGGGAGTCATCGAGGATCACAAACTAAATGAGAGTCCACAGTGTAACACTTACAAAAAAAGCAAACATCATTCCGGGATGTATTAGCAGGAGTATTGTAAGACACAAGAAGTAATTCTTCTGCTTTACTTCACACTGATTAGACCTCAACTAGAATATTGTGTCCAGTTCTGGGTGCCACATTTCAGGAAAGATGTGGACAAATTAGAGAAAGTCCAGAGAAGAGGGGGAAAAAATGATTAAAGGTCTAGAAAACATGGCTGATGAGGGAAGATTGAAAAACATTGGGTTTGTTTAGTCTGGAGAAGACTGAGAGGGGCCATGATAATAGTTTTCAAGTACATAAAAGGTTGTTAGAAGGAAGGGGGAGAAAAATTGTTCTCAACCTCTGAGGATAGGACAAGAAGCAATGGACTTAAACTGTAACTAGGGAGGTTTAAGTTGGAAATTAGGACAAACTTCTCGTCAGGGTGGTTAAGCACTTGAATAAATTGCCCAGGGAGGTTGTGGGATCTCCATCATTGGAGATCTTTAAGAGCAGGTTAGACAAACACCAGTCAGGGATGGTCTACATAATACTTAGGCCTTCCATGAGCGCAAGGGACAGGACTAGATAACCTCTTGAGGTCCCTTCCAATCCTATGATTCTATGCTATGGCAGCTATTCCATACCCCTAGTAATCTTTGTTGCTCTTCTCTGTACCTTTTCTAATTCTAATATATATATTTTTGAGATGTGACAACCAGAACAGCACACAGTATTCAAGGTGTGGGCATACCATAGATTTATATAGTGGCATTGTGATATTCTCTGTCTTACTATCTATCCCTTTCCTAAGGGTTCCTAACGTTAGCTTTTTTGACTGCTGCTATATATTGAGTGGATGTTTTCAGAGAACTATCCATCATGACTCCAAGATTTTTCTTGAGCAGTAACAGCTAATTTAGACCCCATCATTTTGTATGTATAGTAGGAAATATGTTTTCCAATCTGCATTACTTTGCATTTATCAACATTGAATTTTTTTGAATTTACCATTTTGTTGCCCAGTCACCCAGTTTTGTGAGATCTCTGTGTAACTCTTTGCAATCTGCTTTGGACTTAACTATCTTGAGTAATTTTGTACTGTCTGCAAATTTTGCCATCTCACTATTTACTCCATTTTCCAGATCATTTATGAATATATTGAACAGCACTGGTCCCAGTACAGGCCCCTGGGGGACACTACTATTTACCTCTCTCCATTCTGAAAATGGACCATTTATTCCTACCCTTTGTTTCCTGTCTTTTAAGCAGTTACTGATCCATGACAAGACTTTCCCTCTTATTCCATGACTGCTTGCTTTGTTTAAGAACCTTTGGTGAGGGACCTTTTAAAAGGCTTTCTGAGGGTCCCAGTACCCACTGGATCACCCTTGTCCATATTCGTTGACCCTCTCAAAGAATTCTAGTAGAATTTTATCAGTGACCTAATGCTAATAGTACTCATGGGAGGAGGTGGATAATTGAAACCTGCCAATTATGCATAGTCTATTATGCATTCCTATTACTCTTGAAATCCTCCACCATTGCTGTTGCATGCCTCTCCCATCTCCTTGTTATGTCTTGACTTAGTTTGTAAACTCTTTGGGGGCCTTGCCTGTCTTTTACTGCAGCTTTGTACAAGGCACAGCACAATAAGGACCCAAGCCCTATGGATTTTGCTGTATTGGTATTAATAGGAGCAAGTCATGAGCTCACAGTGCATGTACATTGCTGGATAATATGCTTATGAGGCATCTACTTTCCAGGAAGCAAGATAATGAATTTACCAGGCACTAGTCATGTCCCTAGTTCAAATTATACACCTAGAACTAGTGTCAGCCACATCTCACATGACAGTTTTCTGCTCAAGATCATTTAATCGAAGTACACATTTGCATGAACCAGATTTCCACCATTATTTTTATATACAAGCCAAAAAACACCCCACAACCTCTTCTCTATCTAAATGGGCACCCTTATTAAATTCTATTCCATATATCTTTAAAATTATATTAACAGTTTTTATACTCTGCTAACCATGGCAGTATTTGAGTGCTTTGGAGTAGTGCATTAAGCAGTGTGACTACACATCTGTGATGTGCTGTTTGTTCTCACATCCTCTCCTCTGATGGAAAAAGCATGTTTTATTATAAAAGCAGAGAACTCCCTAAAAACATACACCTAGCCATGGTGCTACTCTCAAACCATGTTCCAAGATACATGCTTATCTCACTCCCAGTCTCTGTAAACCTGGATAAAAAGATAAGCTTTTCAGCATGC